AAGTGAAATTCCCCCATAGAGAACATCGTTAAACGATGGGGGAAATTCCTCAAAAAAACCCATCGCTGTGTGAATTCATCGTTGTATGAAGCAATCGTTGTGCGAGGCACCACTGTATATCTTAAAATCAGTTTTTAAGATTTCAAATTGCCTTTTTAAAGTTTCAGTCAGGTTTTTGTAGTTTTTATTCAGACATTTGTCTTTAAAAGCTGTAGGGTGGCAATTTTAATTTAAAGGATATTATTGCTCAAAAATCCATTATACAATAATTATTGTAAATGTTAGTTCTATATTATGAGACAATTCAAATAATCCTCTTTTTTGGCAATTTAAAGTGCAATCATTCCCAAATTCAACCCTCAACTTTATGAATTTCTATAGTTTTCTTTCCATATAGATTATATAGTTAATCTTTCTGTCTCCCTGGTACACAGCCTAGTAGATTATCAGGAGAAATTGTGTTTTTCAAACTGGGTTTGTGTCTGCAGAGAGACAGAATTTTTTGCAACAGTACATGTAAATGAGCAATAGTAGATGTATAAAGGTAAAGGTTCCCCTTAACATTTTTAGTTCAGTAATGTCCGACTCTAGGGGGTGGTGCTCATCCTGTTTATCAAGCCGTAGAGCCAGCGCTTGTCCAAAGACAGTTTCCGTTGTCATGTGGCCAGCGTGACCAGGGAATGCTGTTTACCTTCCCACTGAGGTGGTAGCTATTTATCTACTTGCATTTACATGCTTTCAAACTGCTAGGTTGGCAAGAAGCTGGGACAAAGCGATGAGAGCTCACTCCGTCGCATGGATTCGATCTTACGACTGCTGGTCTTCTGACCCTGCAGCACAGGCTTCTGCGGTTTAGCCCGCAGCGCCACCACATCCCTAGGTAGATGTACTTAGCCCTATTTCCCAACCCTCACTGTACTTACTTGTGCAGCCTTCTTTTGTCTTGACATGATATAATTTAGGAAATTTTTGGACGCTATATAAAATCTCTAGATTTGTTTTCAGTAGTTTCCTTAAGTGATGCTGTCCCCTTAAGAGTAACAGTTTTGCTATTGTTCCTTGGCATCTTTGTGTAGACATACCATACTTTTCCGTGTATAAAATGCTATTTTTTTTCCTAAAATCATTACACTAAAAATTGAGGGGTATCTTACACAGAAGTAAGCTGAGATAGCTGAGGAGAGAACAAAATCACATACCTTGCCTCTGTAAACTGGCTTCCTTCAATCACAAGGCTTAGCTGCTTCCAATCAGGAGGCTTAGCAAAGCAAATCGTGCTGCTTAGCTTCCTAATAGCTTCCTCCAATCATGAGCCTTATGGAACTGATGTCAGCTGATGCCAAACAAACCAATTGGAACACACCTGGTTGAAAGTGGAGCCTGTAAGCAGTGCTCAGATTCAACAGGGACTCGTAATGTCCTAGCAATTTGAGCCCAGAGGCTGAATACTCAAAGCTACATTTTCTTAATTTTGGGGTTAGAAAAGTGTGGGAGGTGCCTTATAAACATAAGGTAAAGGTTTCCCTTGACATTTTTAGTCCAGTCGTGTCCAACTCTAGGGGCGTTGCTCATCCCGTTTTCAAGTCGTAGAGCCAGCGGTTATCCGAAGACAATTTCCGTTGCCACGTGGCCAGCGTGATTAGGGAACACTGTCTTACCTTCCCACCGAGGTGGTACCTATTTATCCACTCGCATTTGCATGCTTTCAAAACAGAAAAATGCAGCAGTCTAGCCTTCTCGTCCTGAAAGTGAACACTTTCAGATGCTGTCAATGTAAATATTACTGGAAATGGAGTGAATCTGGGCAAGGTGATGGTGAAAAATATCTCTTCTGAAAAATACGTACATGAAAAATACGTACATTAGGACTGCACCCCCCCTCCAGGGAAGCAAAAAAACCCTACATAATGCATTGTCTCTCACTACCTCTAATGGACATTTCTGGCAATTACGCCCTGGAAATAAATATAATTGTGTATTTTGGGAGGCAATGTTTAGTATTTTCAGACAGCGGATAGGTGAATCAGTGGATACTGATCCCACAGATGGGGGGGGTGTCCTGCTGTATTAATATGTTAAAGCAAATGAGTGCTCCATTTGGGAAGAAATCATGTGAATAAATTGAATCTTTCTGAATAATGATTTAAATCAGTATGATTGAAATTAAGTCAAGCCAGACTTGTTTTCACTGTTTCATGCTGCACAGTTCATCTGGCTCTATTGAGAGTAAACTTGTCAAGCCATATGAATATTCTGCTCTTGTGAAAAACATGGTGTGGAGAAAGACACTGGAATGTGGAATGATTTCAATTAGGATAAAAAGATCCCCAGAATGTGGAATAGCCCTTCTGTAGCTTCAAAGCAAACCAAAGTGTGCTGCTTATATACTGTCCCATAGCGCTTCAAGCACTCTCTGGATGGTTTACAAGTTAATGATGCACATTGCACCCCAAGCAAGCTGGGTAATTTTACCGACCTCAGAAGAATGGAAGGCTGAGTCATCCTTGAGCCAGCTACCTGAGATTGAACCCTAGGACGTGAGCACTGTTTTGCCTGCACTCCAGCAGTTTAACCCCTGTGCCATGAGGCTCATTCCTTATGAAGCAAGAATTCTCCGTGTTGCTTCAAATAAATTGTGCCCCTCCATTGGAATATATTTCCTCCTTAAATAGTTGTTTCTCTTTTCTGAGAACTGTTGATCTTGTAGCTTCTACCTGTTTAGATGGCAGCATGTAATCTGAGTATATCCAGATGTGTGTGTTCTTGATAAGAGTAATTAAAAATAAAGAACTTAAACATAATGTAGTTTCCTTTAGTGTGTCTTAGCAATTCAGAATTATTTATCCCTTGGGATAGCAGAGACCTAGCTACTGATTAATTTTGGTATCAAAAAACATTTAGGGTTATGGGATACAGGTTCTTAATGGTTTTTCAAGGAGCTTGTTTGGAGGAAATGTCTGCAGCTGCTTACACAATCCGAGAAGTGGCCTCACAGAGGGTATTGTCGACGGTATGAGCAGGGGCCTTAACATCTTAAGGAGGATGGTTGCTGCCCTGGCCACAATCCCACCATCTAGGAAGGGGAATTCCTTGTATATGGATAAAAACATGAAGTGGTTAGCTAGCTCCTTGTAGCTCTTTGTGTTCATGCATTTGTGAGGATGTGTTTTTTTTCCTTCTGGGCTTTTTTGTTTTTCTCTAAATGTGAAATAACATCCCTTCACTGGGGAGAACACAGTGCAAAGTGATTTACACTGTGGTTTGCACTGAAACTATACCTAACTCTATATTAGTGACATTTTATCCATGCCTGCATTGTACGGCCGCTCTTGTAGCTCTTTGTGTTCATGCATTTGTGAGGATGTGTTTTTTTTCCTTCTGGGCTTTTTTGTTTTTCTCTAAATGTGAAATAACATCCCTTCACTGGGGAGAACACAGTGCAAAGTGATTTACACTGTGGTTTGCACTGAAACTATACCTAACTCTATATTAGTGACATTTTATCCATGCCTGCATTGTACGGCCGCTGTGTTGATCACTTCATTGTTACTAAATCGAAACTGTGTAGTTCGGTTACAAAATGTTGACATATAGATTGTACCATACAAGTGTAATCACTACCCTTAGTGGTATAAGAGATTTTTTTTTTGTAACTCGTGGTAGAAGGCTGAAAATACACACTATACAGATGAGTCATGTGTGTGACCCTTAAATTCCAGCAGAAACCTTCCTAGCAGATGCAGGAAACAGTTACGACAGTAAAATATTGCTCGGCGAGTACGTACTGTATAGGTAATTCTATAAACCCCTAGTGTTGTAGATGATCATATTTGCACACTATTTCAAGATACTGCCCATTACTGCTTCAATGTTTCTTGCAATCGGCCACTAGTGAGTTCAGACTGGTGAGGCAGTTGCTGGCATAATGCATGCATCGAGCAGTTGCTGGACTGCACTGGTCTTGTATTTGGATGTATACTGTGTTGATAGTCTGTGGCCTGCCATTCTAACCAAATCCATCTTTGTCACTGTTAGGTTTCTGCTCTGGATCAGGAGATCATTGAAGTGGACCCCGATACCAAGGAAATGTTGAAGCTACTGGTAAGCAGGGGAGCTGAATGGCTGCCAGCAGAACTGCTTTTTGTTGCAGCCAGCTGGTTTTTCTTGACAATAATAGCTACCTGCATCACAGCAGTGTTGAGGTCAATTTTTGGAGGCCATCTGCTTGCAGGCTACAGTATTAAATGGATCTTGTTGGCTAAGCCTTAGTGTTTGGGAAACCTTGAAATGTACTCCATGGATGCAAATTGTGTTCATTAATACAGTATCCCATTGGGTCTGTGTACCATAATGTTTTATGTGAAAGACTACGTAGGTTATTTGATGCAAGGGATTTAGCACATCTTGAAGGAATATTCCCATTGGTTTAGCTTGTATTGGTGAATGTTCTTTGTTCTGTGTTCTTCCAGGACTTTGGCAGCCTTTCTAATCTGCAAGTCACGCAGCCCACTGTAGGGATGAACTTCAAAACCCCAAGAGGTGCCATCTGAGGCCAGTTCCATTCTGCCAGTTTTACAATAAATATATAGAAACACAGTGTTGATGTTCTTGTCTGATTATATATCGTGCACTTCTATATGTGCGGAGTAGTAGTGTGTGAGGACATTGCCATCCATCTTTAATGACGTATGTGCGGAGTAGTAGTGAGGACATTGCCATCCATCTTTAATGACAGAGAGGCCAGGTTTCAGGAGGCTAGTGAGAAGTGTCCAAACAACTATAAAGGTAAGCAGGCACCTCTTGCTGTAATTTGCATGATTATTTGCTGGGCCCATAGGAGAGCATTCACTGTCTCCTTTCTGCTTGGAAGATTTGCAAAAATTGCTAAACAGCAAGAAGATTGCCCCTATTGCAGGTTGTTTCCACTTTAAAACTAATGGAGGTGAGATCAAAGATGACTATATTTGCAGAGCAGTAGCAAGTTTTACTTAGCCTTTAAACCTTCAGCCACAAATGCTCCCAGGGAAATAGTGTTATAGCCTGGCCCCCAGGTTTACAGTTGAAATGGTACAGAAGGAATTAGAGATGGGGAAGGAGGGAGGAAAGAAAAAGACTGGTGTAACTCAGTGTAGTGTAGCGCATGACTGCAGAGCCTTGCACTGGGAATTAAAATTCACACTGCATTCCTGGAATGGGGGTGTCAGCGAAGATAATCTGGAAAGTGTGTGGTTGATGGGTTTTTGTTAACTTGCCGCTATGTAGCACTGACAAGTTATATGATGTCAAAGTGCAACCAGAAGAGGAAGTGGTGAACTATTTCTGAGCACTTTATATGTCCTTATAGCCCTAAGTCAGAAAGGGGCAAAAACAGCACATTATTATGGCTGCTGCTACTATTAATATTAGGGTGGGGGCTTATATTGATCACTTACATGGAAAACTGTTCAGACAGTCTGCTGGAAAAGTTCCACCCTTGATATGGTCAGTCTGTTGCCTGAAGCAACTGTCACAAGTGGATAGCTTCCAATAAAGCTTCCAACAGGATGGAGCCGAGTGGGTAGACCCATTGTGGTCGTTGGCCTCCTTCAAGGTGTGCCGTGCAATGTGCCACATGGTTGGTACAGTTTTGGGAGAGATGCTGACTAGAATGCTAGCGTTCCACAGAAGGAAGACCCAAAACATGTTTTGTTGAAGCAAACAAAAGGGGCAGCAATAAGTTATGTGCATATCTGTAATAAGATTTGACCTTCCTGGTTTCATTGTCCTCCCAACTATGGGTGAAACCATGGATACAGTTGTGCCCTGCTTAACGATTGCCTTGCTTAACGGGGAAATCACTTTACGATGATGTTTTTGCGATTGCAGACGATGGTCTAAATGGGGGAATTTCCATAGCGATGATCGGTTCCCTGCTTCAGGAACTGATTTTTGCTTTATGATGATCAAAAACAGCTGATCGTCGAGTTTCAAAGTGGCCGCTGGCTGAAGAAAATGGCCTCCTGCTGTGCTTAGGGACGGATTCCTCACTGCACAGGCATGGAAAATGGCCACCCCTATGGAGGATCTTCGCTGGATGTTGAGTTTTCAGCCCATTGGAACGCATTAACCAGGTTTTAATGCATTTCAATGGGCTTTTTAAATTTCGTTTGATGATGTTTTCACTCTACAGCGATTTTGCTGGAACGAATTAACATTGTCAAGCGAGGCACGACTACTTGCCCTGCTGTTTGGTCTGCTCTGGGGATGGGCTGCTTTGTTCCTTTTTTGGCAACCTCATGGCATGTGTGCCATTGCAAGCCAGTCTGCTCCAATCGGTGCCTGCCTGCACCTTTTTCGGTCTCTGTCAGGGGCTATTGATTTTCAGTGCAGGTAGGATCACTGTTTTGCTTCAGTTCCCACATGTGTGATCTCTGGGGTTAAGTCAAAGTGGTTGTATGGGTATCCATTGCTGAACCTGCTTAACACTCTTGAGAAATAGGAAACTTCTTGGCTGCTTACCTGCAGAGGGGAAGAGAGAGGTGGTTTTCTTTCAATTGTTGCTTAGTGATGCCTTGGAATAGATTTTTTAAAAAGTCATTTCAGTTTATTGCTGATGCGCTGTGTTGGTTAGCAATGATTTAAAAAGAAATGGGAAGCTTCCTTCCCATCTGCAGGTGAGTGAAAAGTAAGCTTCACATTTCTCAAAACTGGTAAATGACTTAGGGAAAGCACAAGGAAGGGAATTTAAAGGTCATCTCTTCCCCTCACCAGATTTTGCTGTATAGCTTGGCACTCACTCCTTTCTCCCCTTCTTCCTTGGCAGCCCAGAGCAGGTGATCAGTTCTGTCCTAGCATCCCAAGGAGAACCCATCAATAGGATTTATGAGGTCACTTGAAGGGTATTCAGTTGTTGGTACAATGGAAAAGGACGGGCACAGAAAGCTGCCATATCTGATGCTTTGGATTTTTTACAGAACGATATGAGCAGGGGCCTTAACATCTTACGGAGGATGGTTGCTGCCCTATCCACCATCTAGGAAGGGGAATTTCTTGTATATGGATAAAAACATGAAGTGGTTTCTCTGAGGCATGTCCTTAAAACTCTTCCTGGCATTCATGGATTTCCTTCCTGGAACTTCCATATTGTTATAAAGGCCCTGAACAAGGCACCCTTTAAATTGCTTAGAACGGGATCATGAAAAAAACCTTTCTTGGAAGGTGCTTTTCCTGACAGCCTTAGCTAAGAGGGTCTCTGAGTTAGGTGTGAGTTGTGTCTAATCCATGCTGAGTCTGTGGTCCTCTGGTAGGATTCACCTTTTGTCCTAAAGTTCAGTTCTATTTTCCATCAGGCACAGGAGCTTAATTCTCCTCTCCTTCTGTCCTAATCCATGCGCAATAGTAGAGAAGGTGTGGTATATCTTGAATGTACGAGACTTTTCAGATGTGCTGATTCTGTTTTTTCCCCCCATGAAAGTTGAATGAGAAGGCATCTGAACCAGTGCTGGCCGTAGCAGCCTGTTACGTGGCTTTGGCCAAGATGGGAATCGGAGCACACACTGCTCAAAGTGCATCCATGTCGACAGCCTTTGGTCCTAGGCTCTCACCTGTATACTTGCAGGGCAATCACTTGGAGGGCATAGTCTCCGTTTGTCAGGCATTAAAGGCTGGACCCTTTTTGCCTAAGCAGTGGCATCATTTGGATTGTGGGGTCCTGCAACACGGGGTCCCCCAGTAGGTAGCAAAATAGAAACCTGGACCGAGAGCATCTGCAAACCATCCAGTATTGTAAACGTCGGTAAGTCCTATTGTACAGCCTTTCCCACTTTGGTTAGAAAAAGGGACCGTGGTCCCTGCCATGAGTCGTTCCTTTTATACACTGGAAGAAGGGCATCCTTTGCCACCCTGTTGTTGGTACCAGCTTATAAAGTGTCATACAGAGAAAGTGATGAGTAATTGTTCAGCTGGCCTGACATTCCCAGTTCAGTTATCTGTTCTGTGTTTTGTTGATTGTTGATTAATAAAGAAGAAATTTGAAGAGAGGACAGAAGCTACAAGTTATCCTCCCCACTAGAGGGAGCAAACAGCTCCGAAAAGATTGGTTTCGTCTATTTGCAGCTTGAAGGGTGCACATTTGCTTGAATTGACAGGAAAACGACAGAATATAAAAGGTATGAAACTTACAGAGGTTTCAGAGTCTATTCCCTCTCAGCATAAAAACTGGACCACCTTTCTAATTGTAGTCCCTGCTAGGAATGCATCAGAGATGAGTATGTGGATCTTGACATTTGCATATAATAATTTGTTTTTAATCTACAGCTGGACATGTTGGAAAGCTGGCTGTCTCTTTCATGCAAATGCTTGACAAAAGATAACATTTCTAAAAGCCCTCTAGGAAAGCAGGTTTCTTAATTTTAAGGAGGCAGTGAATTCAGCATAGGTCTTACTGGGTTATATGGGGCTTTTTCTTTAGACTAGTATATGAAGAAGCTGGCTGCAAGTGTCCCAGTTCTTCCCCTTAAATGATTTCCATGTTTGAAGGCTGGCATATGGAAAATATGGTTCTCCCAATGTTGGACTGCAGGTCCCATAATCCTTCATTATTGACTATGCTGAATAACGCTAATGGGAGTTAATCCAGAAACATCTGCAGGGAGGCAGGAGCCCATCCCTGTTCTACACAATGCCCTTCTCCTCCCATTTCCTTCTCATCTCTGCATGATCTGCAGTTGATCACAAGCTGAGAAGAGCAGGAATGGCTATGCCATGAGTTATATGCAGGTGGCCTGTAAATAACTTTGTCTTGAAGAGAGGAAATGTCTCTCTTTTCATCCAGGGCAGAGCAGAGGCCTTTGTGAGGCTCTAGGAGTCACGTGGGAGCTCTGTTGTCACCTGTTGCAAAAGGCAGCCATAGTAAGTGGGGTGCATAGCAGGAGATAGGATTGCAGGGCTGGGGCAGAGGGGGCCTCCTCATTGCATCTGTTGGCTTTTGGTGATAATAAAAAATACATATAACCTGCAGAGTCTGCACACAGCAGCTTTGAAGTGTACTGATAAAGCCACTTGCCAGAGTTAAATTTGATGTTCTAACGTGTTTGTACCTGAAATTGATAGCAAAATATCACTTGTGCTTTTGATCATAACATTAAAGTTTACTATTTATAAAGATTTGTAAAAGATACCAGAACTCGTAGAGCTTAGACATTTGGCATTTGTAATACATGTTCTTGACTCATTGACAAACATATTTTTTTCTAGCAAATAACTATCTCATGGTAACACTATTACATTTGTAAGCCTCATCTGGCCGTATCACGACCTGTCAGGATAAGTATGGCTTTGAGTTTTCTTTTACGTCCATCCCATGTACCGCCCGTCATGCTGGTCTTGCAATGACAAGGCAGCAGTTGAATTAGCCTGATCAGAAGTTGCTGCTTTGAGTACTGACTCGCCATTTTTTTTTGGCTGCGCTCCTTTGCTCACCATAAGGCCAGGGGATAAGACTTCGGAGTTCTTAATCTTTTCGTCCTCCAGATGTTTTGGACCTCAACTCTCAGAAACCATAGCTGGTGTCCTAGGATTCTAAGAGCTGAACTCTGAAACGTATGAGCAATTATAAATAACTGAATGAAAAGATATGGACCCACCCACCAAATCCATATGCGAGAGTGGCGGGAGGTAGAGCTGAGCTGATCGTACTGTATTGTCTGACCCACAGATGGGAATGACCTCTGTGTTTGAATATATGCATACAGTGATTACAGATCAGGAGTTGCAGCAGTCTAGTTAGGGTCCTGGGTATAAGGATCCTATTAAATCATGTGAAGTCAGACATCCTTGCTGATTTCTGCTTGCCATCCAGTGATTGAGCAATTTACTCTGGTTTATATTTTGCCCACTTGTTTTAAAGGGGATGAGGCTATATGAGAGCAGCAATGTGGAACTAATACCAGCAGAAAGACTGAATTCAATTTCAGAGAGGTTAGGAGGCTGAAATGGATGGAACCCGTAATAAGCTTGAAGCTCTTACTGCCAGAAACCAGGCCTGGGGAGGGAAGAAATGAATGATGTCATGGGGAAGTTGATTATGTCATGGGGAAAGAGGAATGGCTGTGTGTGGAAAGACAGACTGAATAAGAGAAACAGCTGAGCATGGAAAAAATTCAGATTAATCCATGCAACTTTATTCTTGCCATTTCTGTGTTTTGAACTGACAGCAGGACATTTTGACACTGGAGCTGTTGCGTTGGGAAGATCACAAGAGAGATGCAATAGAATGGAAGCCTTATCCAATTTATTCCAAATTTGACAAAGACTAAGAAGCTTGCCACATTAAAAAAATGTATAGGACCAAAGGAAGAAAACAGCACTCTCCGTGCTTGCAAATTCCCCTTATCTCTTGACAAAAACCACCCCACTCAGCATATCAGGAAGAGTTGTCTTCCAATAAAGGGAACAGGTGGGACTCAAGGTTGAAAATGCGAAACTCCACGTGTAGTTTAGCACCTTGTGTAAATCTGATTAAGGTGACTGCAGGAATCTCCAATAACATACTGTACAAGTTTAGAAACATGACAGTCACCTAACAGACACATGGCTTTAGTAAGATGAGAAAACTAGGAGAAACACCAGTATCAGAGAGATTCTAACAGTACCTGAAAATCCAATTTAGGTGTATGCTGTGCTAGTTCTTATCTAAAAGGACAGAAACTTTGGCCTCATATTGATTTCTACCCCTGTTTAATGATCTGAGAATATGAAACTATAGAGCGTAACAATTTTATAATGCTGGAAAACAATTTTTGCCATTACAGGATTACTTGGTGAAAAAGGATTTTATTAAACTAAAAAAAAAGGTAGATTCTCATCAGTAGAACACCCTGTGTCCTTGTTGTGGCTGTTAGGTAGCCAATAAAACCCAAACGAGGGCAGTTTCAGTCTCTTTATTTAGCTAAGCAAAGCAAATGGCCGAACAATCCTCTGCACACAGGCAAGGATTTCCCACTCACCCCTGCAGTTCAATTGCAGACATACTTACACCCTTAACATCTGCTCTCTCTACCACAAGTCTGTGGCTTTCCTGTTTTTCTTTACACCCATAAAGGTGTAACCATCTGTGACTCGTGCCCACCTCAGCTCATGCATCCTGTTACCAATACAAGATTAAGCAGATAAGATTATACAAAATAACTGCAAGATACAAATGTTACACACTTCAAACTTTTAAAAGGTACAGCCGAGAGAAAAAGCTATAGCTGTAGATACAAAACATTTGATGTTAAAATCTAGAATGCTTCATCCAAAAATATGCCAGCCTGGCTGATACGGAGAGTGGATCAATCCCATTTATTTCTGAAGATCTCAAAGGTAACATTAATTAACTTGGAAACCAGCTCGGCTGAATCTTCAATTTGAGTGATCCCATTCGGTTCTTCAACAGGGCGGACAAATCCCTTCTCAGAAGATCCGGAAAAGAGGGCACTCTTTCAGTTTCACCCACTAAGGTCCACCGTTGTGTATGTGCGTGTGTGCACGCACACGTGCATAAACCCAACAAGAGGTGTGTGCATGTGTGTAAGCCAACATGAATTTAAAGGCACCGGTGCATTTAAGGTGCAGATTTAAAAAAAAAACAAAAAGCATCAACCGAGGGGATGGAACTGGGGTGGGGATGGGGGTGGGGAGATATAATCCTTCACACATATACACACACACAAACCTTAAGTGCAGTTCTGAAGAAAATCCCTGGTCCGCATCTAGCAGGTGCTTTCGAGGAAAGGGGCGAGGGGCACCTCTTGAGCGGGAGGGGCCTCCCAACGGTGCTTCGCCAACAGCTCCCCCACCCTAAATTCCGCATCTCTGGCCCCGCTGCCCAAGGGCTGGGGAGTGTTACACCCAACACAGGGGGAAGCCACGTTGTCCCACCCCTGCCTTCAGACGGCGTTTCCGGCCCGTTCAGTCCAAGGTAACGGAGCATCCTCGTCCCTTGCGGCCCAACTCCCATCCCCACGGAAGCCCAGGGCTATGCGGCCACCGAGCCGGCCCCGAGTCTAGGCACGCTTACTCTGGAGTAAGCCGAGCTTCCTACCCACCTCCAATCTGTACACGTGCAGTGGTTGAGACGGCCCTTTCCGGGCACGAGGCTGGCTGAGCCGGGAGCGCCCCCCGCCCCGCCGTCCGGCCAAAGTCCCTTTTCGGGGCGACCGCGGCCAGGATCCGCAGGGAAAGGTCCGGCGAGGGGCGCCCCTTCTCAGGCTTGGTCCTCGCCGCCGCCGTCCGGGCTGCCTGGCTCAACCTCCCCTCCCAGGCGCGCCCCTTTCTGACGATCCGCGCTTCCGCCCCCGCGCCGAGGAAACGAAACTCCGCTTCAGCCCCGGGGAGTCCTGCTTGCGGGTGAGCGGTTCAGGCCCGAAAGGCAGGAAAGGGGACCCGCTGCCTTCCCCACGCCGGAGCAGGAGGAAGAGGAAGAGGGGCCAGAAGGAGCCCCCCCCTTCGCAAGCCGTCGAGCCCCGTCTTTTTCCTGGGATCGTCTTTTCCCCCCACGCGCGTCCCTTCCTCGTGGTGAGAGAACAGAGCCGGGAGTGAGTGAGTGAGTGAGCGAGAGGGACCTGCGCCCATTCCCACGTTGGAGAGAGAAAGAAAGAGAGGCTTTCCCGACGCGTGTCGAGATTGGGCCGCGGGGGGGGGAGGGGGGTTTGCCTTATCCCTAGCCTTCCAGAAGATGCTTTGATGGACTTTGGGAGGGGGGGGTGTTTGCACGTGTGCAGGGCCGGTGCAAGGCCTTTTTGAGCTCTAGGCAAGACTACTTGTGCTCCCCCCCCCCAAAAAAAGAACCCTTTTCAGAAACAGACAAATTATAGGAAAAACAGAAAGTACAAAAGTTGAAATTGTGACAAATTTATTTTTAAAAAACTGAGAGAACCAATAATGGAAAAGGTTTCAGTTTTCTTTCTCAAATACAAAACAGTTTTGGCACTCGAATCCTTTTGAATAATCCTATGAACTGTAATGTCTCTTAAACGTTTCTGTTTTTGCCACATCTAAATCTCGTTTTGCCTGCCTTTTCTTTTGGAAATTTTGTCACTGACTCCTTCGGGTCAGTGGCTGATGTGCCAAACCAGGTAGTCTACTTTGTAGCATTGTTGAGCATAAATATGTTTTTATAAACTTGAGATTTGAGAAACTGTGTTCACCGTTAGCCAGTGACACTGGAAGTGTGAGAAGGATCCTTAGACCCACAGAAACGTTAGGCACACTATCCAGGAGTTTTTGTTGCACTGTGAAGAGAAGTCCTCCTTGTGGTGGCATAGACTTTGGACGGTTTCGAGCTATTGCTATAAGTTCACAGCACAGATCTTCAGCATCAATATCTTTGTTTCCATTGTGCATCAAGGATTTTTCCAAATTCTTGCAGGCCTTAAGTACATCTTCAGTACATTTTTTGTTGATCTTGTATATGTCATATACTGTACATCTGCTTTGGATCTTGTGGATGCCTCCTCTCGTGCTTCATACTCAAACTGATTTTTTCTCCTTTTTCTAACTTGTTCTGTCTCAAAAGTTTGGTAGTATTTCTAGCTCCTTTGCAATCTCATGAAAACCCGCATCATACCTACAGTCCACAAGGTAATTTCTTAGTCACATGCAATTGACTTGTAGTTGAATTTAAATCATTTTCCTTATTTTGTATCAGCTTCCTTGTAAAATTAATTTCAAAAAGACTGTTGCATTATGTAACAAGGCGCGCCAAAAATTTGAATTTAGAAATTGCATCAGCAAGGGCCTTAGCTTCAATTCGAGAAGTCTTTCCAGATAAATTCTTTAGGGTTGTGTCATCAATGATCTCTGGGGTTTTAAAGCACCAATCCAACTCTCCCATTTGGTTTGACTCAGTGGCTTAGCAGTTATGCTTGATACATGGCTAGTTAGAATTTACCAACGCTGAGTCAATGCAGAGAAATAATTATAGATCTGTTGAATCAGGCTGAAGAAACTTGTTGATTCCAGACAACATTTAGCAGCATCATTGACTACCAAGTAGTCTATACTGCTGCTAAATGTGCATTGCAGAGCACAAAAAAAGCACGTGGATTTATGTCTAGGACTCTCTTTTGTATCCCATTTTCTTTGCTTTTCATGTTACTCCCATTATCGTAACCATGACCACGCAGATCCTCAGTTGGTAATCCCATTTGCTCAAGCTGTCCAAGAAGAGTTTTTGTCATAAAGGCATCTGTAGTATCCTTTAGTGGAACAAATCCCAAGAAATGTTCTTTTATCATAACCTCAGGTTTGGACATCTCAGTATCTGATGGTTTGATCACATTGACAAAACGTACAGTCATTATCATTTGTTCAGTATGACTAACATCAGGTGTGCAGTCTAGAATAACTGAGTAGTATTTGGCTGACTTTATATCTTCTAAAATGTTCTGCTTTATAGCTCCCACTAGAAGCTGTATAAATTCATTTTAGATATCTTTTCCTAAGTAGTGAACCATTGTCTCTTCATTTTTAACTCTGTGGAAACGTTCATTCATGATAGGATCAAAAAGGGCTAAATGTTCTGCAAACTTCAAAAAATTTCCATTGTTAGCACTATAAAACTTTTCAGTAGTACCACAGAATGCCAAGTTTTGCATGCCAAGAAGTCTGACCAAAGCAATCAAGTATGTCAAGATTTGTTGCCAATATTGTTCTTCTTGCCTGATTTTCTGCTGGTTAATATCATCAACTGTTTTTTTCCTTTATCCAAGGTGAGCACAACATTATCTTCTTTTGCAGTCATTGTGGTGCTCTCACTTTCCTTGAAATCTTCTTTTTCATCTGAATGTTTTACTGAAAGGTTTACAAATAGTGAAAGTTCATTCTTAGAGTTTATATCACTTGTAGAAGGAGCACTGTGTACAGCTTCCTCAACAAGGGTATTGTCATGTTCTTGTTCTTTGACTGCTTCCTGTGTGCAAAAGTATTTCTGGAAGAACCCCTCTTGCTTTGCTTGCTCCTTGGTTTGCAGAACTGAGCTCCAGATGGTCGTTTTTTTAATAGCTCTCCCTAGGATGAAGACAATATTTTTATATGTTTAAGATCAGTCTAGGGATAAGCCGGAATTGGAGGTAGCATTTAGTCCAAGCCACGCAAGACCAGGAGAAGGCTGGGTTTAGGGTGGAGCACTTGATTTCTGAGTAATGTACAGATTTCAGAGTAGCAGCCCACGTGGATGATATTCTGTAAGTGAGTACAAGCACATTTTCCAGGAAATTCAGAGCAGTGCCCATGGCCATAACTCCAAAGAAGACTGCTTAAAAACTCTAACTTAAAAAACACATTTAGAACAAATTATTATTAAAAATCACATAATTAAATTTATGGGAAATGACTACCAGGTCGCCATGGTAGGAACTGTCCTCATAAGAAAATAAAAGAAGCCATGTTGGATCAGACCAATGACCCATCTAGTCCAACACTCTCTGTCACACAGTGGCCACACAATGGTGTAGAACATGACTAAACCCTCTTATATAGATATACAGTGGTGCCTCGCATTACGATGTTAATTTGTTCCAGCAAAATCGCTGTAGAATGAAAACATCATAAAGCAATTTTAAAAAGCCCAGAGAAACGCATTAAAACCTGATTAATGCGTTCCTATGGGTTTGAAACTCACCGTCCAGCGAAGATCCTCCATAGTGTGGCCATTTTCGCTGCCTGTGCAGCGAGGAATCCGTCCCAGAAATGGAAGATCTTTGCTGGATGGTGAGTTTTTAGCCAATTGGAACGCATTGAACGGTTTTCATTGCGTTTCAATGGGCTTTTTATTTTCGCTTTACGACATTTTCACTTAACAGTAATTCTCCTGGAACGGATTATCGCCGTTAAGCAAGGCACCACTGTACCCTCTTATAAACGTATATAGACACATCCTATACCCAGCAAAATGCAACAACTTCAGCAAGCAGGCAAACAAAGCAATTTCAGTAAGGGAGGCCGTACTATCCCCCGGTGTTCCATTTCCCAGATACAATGTAATCATAATGTAAGTAACTGAAAAGTAAAAACTGAGTAAAAGAAGACACTCACGTTTCCCCAAATGTGAACATCCAAGCGAGTATGTTCAGCTCAGTAGAGGCCACGCAGTTGCAGTGTAAGAGTTGACACATTGAAAGTGAAACCGTAACTTGCACTCGGGCAGGGTGTGTGTGTGTGTTAGTCTGACACATAGAATTTGGGATTTTTAAAGAAGAGGCATGAGCAAGAGATTAGTAAATCTTTCAGGTCAGAGGTCGCAAGTTAGAATTTCTGCTCACAAGCTTAGAGGGAACATGGGTGGAGCCCCTCCCAAACTAGAAGTCTGTCTCCAGTTATAACTGGGGGATGTAGCTAAGTGAGAGAAGGAAGCTGCAGGATCTTCACCAAAATGTTCTCCACCGCTGCTGGCTGTCTATTAGCCCTGTTTGATGACTTATAACCCCGGGAAGTAGATCACAGTGGCTGGTGTCAATGGGACATTTGTAAGAAATATGGGTTGAAACAGGGGTCACCCCAGTGGGGGGGACTCAAGGGTACGCAGTACTGGCAACTCTGAAAGTGCTTATTTACAGTGGTGCCTTGCATAGCGATCGCTCCGTATAGCAATGAAATCGCTCTGCGATGGACTTTTTGCCATCGCAAAAGCGATCGCTTTGCAATGGTCCCTATGGGCTATTTTCGCTTTGCGATGATCGCAGGGAAGCGATCATTGCAAAGCCTCCATTTTTGGCCAGCTGATCGGTAGTTTCAGTATGGCTGACGGGTAAACAAAATGGCCACCCACTGTGTTTTTGCAAGGATTCCTCGCTTTAGAGGCACCGAAAATGGCAGCGCTCTGGAGGATCTTCGCTTAAAGGTGAGTTTTAAGCCCATAGGAACGCATTAATCACGTTTTAATGCGTTTCTATGGGCTTTTTTATTTCGCTTAGCGATGTTATTGCTTAGCAGCAATTTTTTCTGCACGGATTAACATCGCTAAGTGAGGCACCACTGTATTTATTTTTACTTACTCAGTGGTTTTTTTGCTTACTTCCCTTGATGCCAGGGTGATATATGCAAATAAGTTATGCTAATGAGAGTACCGGCAGCCCTTTTTCTATGAAATGACTCCTGGGTTGCAGTATATAGAAAAAAAATCGCAAGACTTCATAAATAATTATATTCCATAGCACTGTTGTGGTATTCTTTTTAAAATATAAATTATCAGTTACATTTTCCCCCCAAGAAATTAGTCTGTATTAAACTGTGTCTCTCTCAGGCCACTTCTGTCCTCCTCTGAGGTCATTTTTGCACCCCTCTCAGGTCTGCAGTCTAGGCAGTCGGCTAGTTCGCCTAGTGGTCGCTCCAGCCCTGCGTGTGAGCCTTTGAGTTGTTGGGGTTTCACAGGTGTCTAAGCTCCGTTCTCATGACTAGGAAGCCCATGAGGCTGCCTTGCAACTGGAGCCTGGAAGTCTCCTTCCTTTATGCCCATTTTTGCCTGCATAACTTCTCTTCCCTTCTTGGCCAATGCCACAAAAGCGGAATAAGAGCTAGTGTGTATTTGGGGACCTTGCAGAGCAGGAACAACGTGAATGCGGGGCAAGAATTGCTGCCTCTCTCTCTGATTCCCGAGGGCTTCTTGGAGTAGCTGTCTTGCCTCTGTTAGATACAAGATAACGGGCTAGGAGGAGGTTGTTAGAGGCTAATGTGGTGTACAGTGGTGCCTCGCTTAACGAAGGAGGTTGTTAGAGACTAATGTGATGTACAGTGGTGCCTCGCTTAATGGCGATTACAGGAAAATTGCTGTTAAGCAAAAACATCATAAAGCGAAAATAAAAAGCCCATTGAAACACATTGAAAACCTTTCAATGCATTCCAATGGGCTTAAAACTCACCATCCAGCGAAGATCCTCCATACGGCAGCCATTTTCGCTGCCTGGATAGCGAGGAATCCATCCCTTAACACAGCAGGGAGCCATTTTATTTACCTGGTGGCCATTCTGAAACTGCCGATCAGCTGTTGAAAAATTGTTTTGCGAAGAATCAGTTCCCGAAGCAGGGAACCGATCATTGCAAAGTGAAATTCCCCCATTCAGACCATCGTTTTGCGATCGCAATTGTGAATGCAAAATGATCGTCGTAAAGCAGATTCGTCATAATGCGGGGCAATCGTAAAGCGAGGCACTACTGTAGAGGGTAAAGTAATGGGATTCAAAAGACATGGATGTGAGTGTTTGCTTGGCCCTGAAAACTAACTGTGGGGTGACCACTCCTTAAAGATCTCACATACCTTGAAAACCTGACTCAGCTGATTGTAAGTTGTGGACAGCTTGAAGACCTGTAACATAGTACAGATCCTTGATCTTATAGTGTTCTTTTCTTATGTTCCTTTAACTTCATCTTCCCTAAACTGGGGATGATGGGGATTGTAGTCCAGCTTGTCTGGAGAGTGCCAGCCACCCTGGGGAAGCCTGCATCAATCTATGTAATCTATTGTTTCTTGTATGTGGGTAGGGTTAAAACTGGCATCAGAAAGAGTTAAGGCATATATGTGGCGCTTGCTCTTAATTGTGCTTCAAACAACTGATGAGGCACCCACTTCTTGTAATGTGTGCTGTTTGGTTTTGGGTTCAGTGCTTCTGCCGTTGAGGTCTGTTGATAGTAATTAACCAGTTGAGGTAGTACATTAGATGTTGATCGGGTGGGTTGTCGGGCATAAAAAGCTATGTGTTTTTTATTTTCAAAGTCTGTAAGCAGCTGTGTAGTTTCTGCTACTGTTTCCCAGAGAGCTGATCTTCAAGAAGACCCCTTTATGCCTTAAAAACAAAACGAAACATCTTACCTTTTGCTGCAGAGTCCTAGTCAGCTTGAAGGTGCAGTCTCATGCATGTCTACCCAGATGTTAAAGCCCCACTCATTTGAGTAGAATTTACTCCTGCTTGAGCAGGCATACAATTGCAGCCATTCTAATTGTGTGTGTGTGTTTTTTTTTTTACAGACTCTGGCTAAAGGGGACTTGATCCCTCCCCACCCATGACAAGGTTAGCCTAAGCTACTCCACATGACAAAATAATCAGAGAAAACGAACTAAATGCCTGTGTATTTGACTCCCTCCCCTAAAAATTGCACCAAAACCAATTTGAGCTTTAGAAAGATGAAGTAGGAAAAAGTAGGAAAAACCCGGGGTAGCCTACCAGTCAGTCTTGACACCCCTCAGCCTTCAGACAGTCCCAAGGTCCCTGTGCATACGCAGTGTTACAATTTAGGTGAAATTGACACCCCTCAGCCTTCAGAGAGTCCCAAGGTCCCTGTTGCATACGCAGTGTTACAATTTAGGTGAAAACGGTCTATTAGTTTTTAATAGAAATGAAACTGCTCTGTCTTGCGTCCTTGCTTAGGTGCCACCTGCAGGAAGCCTCTGAAGTGAAGCATAATTTTGCTTCAGGTCAGACTTCTGAGATTTAAACTGTAAGACTTTCCTTCTTCCTGGAAGGCCCTCCCCATTGTTGTGACGCTCTCCTGAGTGAATACCCACTGACTGCATGCAGGCTGTGTCAATATTTTCACAAGGAACGGAGCCTCTAGAATAGGGATGTTGCCAGACTTATATGGCCACACAGAGGCTGGCTTTGCGCCCTGGCTGGTAGTTTTGTGCCTCTTGACCTCCCTCTCCCACATTGGACTGTTCCAGTTGTGTAGCCGGGACAAAATGATGAAAGGTTAAACTCCCGAAAGCTCCTCCATCGAAGACAAAGAAGGCAGAAAAAAGGACAGCCTGGTGACTCATAGAGAAGTAAAACACCATGTGATGTGGAGCATAATTACCTGGGGTTGGTGAGAGAGAAGCAAAAGTATAATAAAGAAAGTGGAAAGCCCAGATCGGAAGAACAGGAGAGGTGGAGCTTGAGTAACGAAGTGGAAGGAGAAGAAAGAGGAGAGAAAAACACTCCGTAAGTCCCCTGATTATTGACTGAGAAGTTGAAAGAGAAACATTCCGTTTGCTGATAAGAACTGCTTAAGCTCAAGAAACTCAAAGGAATGTAATTAATTACTTTAATTACTTTAAGTACTGCAGCCAAAAATTGTGCTTCACCACCCGACCTGGGGTTCAATCCCTGTTGTCCAGCTCAAGGTTCAATCAGCCTTCCATCCTTCCAAGGTCAGTAAAATGAGTACTCAGCGGGGGGGGGGCAATGTGTCATCAGCATCATTAACTTGTAAACCGCCCAGAGAGTTCTTGAAGTGCTATGGGGTGGTATATATAAGCAGCAGGCTTTGCTTGCTTTTTTTCCCCTTTTCTTTTTGCTTTAAAACCTTCTTACTGGGGAAGAAAAAGAAAAGTCTCAGACTAAAGCACTGACCAGATGTTTAGATGACTTGCCTGTAATACTAACGGATTGCTGCTTGTTCTCTGAGTTTTTTTTAAAAAAGAAGATATAAATAAATAAATAGAAACCCAAACTGAATCAGAAACGAAACTTAAGTTTCTCTTACCTGCCTAGTAAAGCCATGCAGGACTGTTAAATTGCTCTTGAGCGCTACTTGTTGGGAATTTGTATAATTATATCCAGACTCATCGCAATTGCTTTTTTTTCTGAAAATACTGCTAGAGACACCTTTAAAAATAAATGGGACTGTGTACAAGCTTGGGTAAAAGAAGATGTTAATGTGACAAGGAAGATCAAGACAAAAGGAAAGCAGAGTTGCTGTGAAAAATATAAGAGAATGCACAGTGGTTTGAAGAAGAGAAGACTCTGAATCAGTTTCAGCATCCAGACCGGGATCCAAAAATAAACCTTCTGACCATAATTTAAAGAGGCTCTCTGAGGTTACAACAGAAAAAATATGGCACAGAAATTTCAAAAAAACAAAAGAAGGAGGACCCAGGATGCTGTTTGACGTCATATCACAAGTCAATGAGGGCATTAAAGCAACGAATCAAAGAATACAGAACCTTGACAAGGAAATGGACACAATGCAAGGAGGTTATTAAAAAATACAAGAGGATTATAAAAATGCAAGAGAATTATAAAAAAATTTAAAAAATTAAGGGATAATCTGGAGTCTCATATACAAAACATGAATTAACAAGTGAAAGTTTTGGTGAAAAGAAACTCTTCCAAGCTCTTGGATCAAGAAAGAGACATTGTTGACCTAAAGACTCAGATGATAACGCAACAGGATTCGTCATGAAGGTCAAACGTAAGAATTAAAGGCTTAGCAGAAGGGGCTGAACAGGAAAAGGAGTTATCGAAAATAATACTAGATTGATTTTATAAAACAACTCCTGAGCTGAACTGGACAGTGTTTGATATTGAACGTGCCCATTGTGCATCAAGAAAAGTCAGAGGTCAACCACATCACCTGTTGGTGAACTTTGCCAGCTACAGGAAAAAAAGAAGAACTTAAGAAAGTGTTGAGAGAAAAAAATAAAGTATCTTAAAATTGAAAATGATGACATTATGGTTTTCAATGACTATTGCCATGAAGCAATGGCATATAGAAGAAAAATGAGTTATCACAGCCATTTTAATTGTAAAGGATATTAAATACATATGGGGTCATCCAGTCCACATAAAAAATTATCACAATGAGAAATACTATAGTGTCACATCGGAGAGATCGGCTTTAGAATTTTTTGTGAATGCTGGACTTATAACTAAAGAAGAATGGGGAGAACAAATTTCCAAACTGGATAGCCAAGAGCAAGAGCAAGAGGTAGAGGAAGAAGATGAGTCAGCAAAGGAAGAACAGGTGGTCAGAATGAAAACACAGAGTGGAGGCAAAGCAAAACAGAAGGCAAAATAAAAAAACGCAATCAAATGAGGAGGTCTGGGAAAGGATAAAAAATGTACAGTGGTGCCTCACTTTACGATTGCCCCGCATTACGATGATCTTTTTGCGATCGCAAAACGATGGTCTGAATGGGTTTTTTTTCGCTTTGCGGTGATTGGTTCCCTCCTTCGGGAACCAATTCTTTGCAAAACGATGATTTTCCTCCAGCTGATCGGCAGTTTCAAAATGGCTGCCAGGTAAATAAAATGGCTCCCTGCTGTTTTCTGGGACGCTGCACAGGCACCGAAAATGGCCGCCCTATGCAGGATCTTCACTGGACGTTGAGTTTCCAGCCCATTGGAACACATTGAAGGGGTTTCATTGCATTTCAATGGGCTTTTTATTTTCGCATCACGATGTTTTCGTTCTACAGCGATTTTGCTGGAACAAATTAACGTAATGCAAGGCACCACTGTATATCGGGGTAAACCCAGAAGAAAGGGAGAAATAGGTGATTAAAGGGAAATATTAGAACAAGGATTAATAAGGGGAAAACCAGAAGAAGGAGTAGAGACAAGGGGGGAAGCAAAGAAAATAAGTGAGTAAACAGATGGGGTTTAGAGCGTAAAAGGAGGAACCAACAAAGGAAAAAAAAACATTAAGGGAAATTCCAGTAGTAGCATAGAAACTCTGGGAATGTAGATATATCGTATTCTGTTAAGGCTTTTCGTTAAATATAGTTTAGAGTTTTCAAAGAAAAAGGAATAGGCTTTCAAATAATAGAGAGATGACAGAGCTAAGGGAGGGGGCCGAGCCAACATTCCAGACCACGCTCCCCCCCCACAAGGCCAAGAGCTCAATTGAATAAAATTCATACGAGGGGGGGGGGTCAAAGACTAGTGAATGTAGGTGGGGGTGGATAAGTGAGGGTTTAAATCTTTTCTATTTCTTTCTGTCTATTGTTTACTGTACTTGCTGTTCTTTTTTTATAAGTGTAGCTATGTTAGATGTATTAATGCTAAAACTTAGGGTGTGAACAGGAAACGTGGGACTAGAAAGAAGTATAATGAGCAATGGTTCGGAGTCATATTCCATCATCTCTCCCCCAGAGTTTTGATACCCACCAGTTTAAATATAGAGCAAAGGGATTGATGGAGGATGCTGTAGCTACAGTCCTTCCTATTTTTTATAAGTGTAGCTATGTTAGATGTATTAATGCTAAAACTTAGGGTGTGAACAGGAAACGTGGGACTAGAAAGAAGTATAATGAGCAATGGTTCGGAGTCATATTCCATCATCTCTCCCCCAGAGTTTTGATACCCACCAGTTTAAATATAGAGCAAAGGGATTGATGGAGGATGCTGTAGCTACAGTCCTTCCTACTGCATTGTCCTTAAATATAGAGCAAAGGGATCGACGGAGGATGCTGTAGCTACAGTCCTTCCTACTGCATTGTCACATGTGGAGCAGCAGGGGAACTATGTATGGCTGCTTTTTGTAAACTTCATCTCAGCATTTAATACCATCCGAGGCTGGTGGTTAAACTAAGGGACTCTTGGGACTTCCATATTCTACTCATACGTGGATAGACAAGTTTTTTGTCTGAACGCAGTCAGAGGGTTAGAATAGGTCAATATACATCTGCGGTTCTCAGCCTTAGTATTAGTTGACCACAAGGCTGTGTGCTGAATCCCCTGCTCTATACCCTTTATACATATGATTGTGTTTCTACTTACAACAGCAATACCATTGTTAAGTTTGCAAATGATACCACAGTAGTGGGGCTCATCTCAGAGGAGAATGAGAGTCTGCTTATAGGGATGAGGTGGAATGATTGGTAAAATGGTGTAGCGAGAATAACTTGCTTCTAAATACTTCAAAAGCTAAGGAGCTTGTAATAGATTATAGGAAGAAGGGGATAGATATTCCACCATTATCCCTTAGTGGAGATTCAGTAAAAAGGGTGAGGGTTTTTCGTTTTTTGGGTGTCCATATTGAGCAAAACATGTCTTGGAGCGTAAATACCTCAGAGGTACTGAAAAGGGCTCAACAGAGATTGTACTTTCTAAGGATGCTTAGGAAGAATAACATCACTCAGAGACTGTTGGTGTCCTTTTATCGATGCTCAATAGAACGTGTATTGTCATACTGCATGTGCATGTGGTACGCGGGTTGTACAGTGGCCCAGAGAAAATAGCTTCAGAGGGTGATTAATATAGCGCAGAAGATTGTTGGGTGTCCTCTCGCCACCTTGGAGGAACTGTACAGGCCCCATGATCTTAAAAAAGCACAAAATATTATAAAGGACACCTCCCACCCTGGACATGCTTTGCTTGAACTACTGCCACCAGGAAGACGATATAACCCATTAAAACAAGGACAAATAGATTTAAAAACAATTTTTATCCAAGGGTGATGACTTTGCTAAATTCAGTTAAGATTTAATCTGACTTATTGTAGGGTTGCATGTGAATGTATTTTGTTGCCATTGTATTATGTTGGAATTTGTAAGGAATTTAAATGGAGTTTTAGCTGAATGAGTGATGCACTGTCTGCACTCTGGTGATTTCGTTGCGCATGCAATGTCCATAAAGTGTTATTCTATTCTATTCTAACATGAGATATCATTTCTTAGAAAGTGAAACTTTCAGCCAAGACGGTGATTGAGAAGCTGCTCAGTGAAAGAAGAAAGGCTGGTAGGAGAAGATGTCAGAGGAAGGCACGGCAGGACCCAGCGTCCCGGCCCCAGAGAACCTGGTAAGACTCTGATCGTGCGCCAGGATGGGTCCCAGAGAATCAGAGCAGGTTTTGCAAGAAAGGTGATCAAGTGGCAGATTCAGGTCAGGAGATTTGATAGACCAAGAAGGATCCTGAAGAAAGCCACTTCCTGGTCTGCTCCAGTATTCCATCTGGACAGGGGAAAGAATAAGAGTAAAAAATACTGTGCCATAAAGAAGGGGATGGAGAGAAAGGCCACCAAGACAAGGAGACGGGGGCCATTGAGCTGAAGAGGGCAAAGGTTCTGTTAGAGCCTCTGGAAAAAAACCCAGACCTGTCGCCATCACGGACGCAGCCACAGGGCATAAGGTTTTCCCCTCCCTGGATCTAAAAAATGTTTTGGAAAACTCTCATTCAGCCTCTTTTTCTTTTTTAAAAAGCATAATCTTTCACTTCCTTTTGGGGACGCTACATGCTTCTCCTCCTTTTTCTTGGCGATAGATGGCTTGCACCCATGATTTCCGGCAGGGGGAAAGGGAGAGAGGGAGATGGTGCTGCTTGCCCCAGGTGCCAAAATGGCTAGTTGCAGCTCTGATGGGATTGTTTTGGGGAGGTTGTGAGCCCAGGGGAATAGCGGCATAAGAGAAACTTTGAAGGTCCAAAGTCATTGCTGGTGTCAGAAGAGGTCACGAAAGGTTGTGTCAGTAGGGGATGACACATCTCACCTGTAGGAGCAGGTAAAGATTGGGAGATAGAGAATTTTTAATCATTGTCGGGAAACCTCCACATCCCATCGAGACTACTTGTGAGTGGGTTCAAGTTTGGGCACTACTTTCTTTCCCTTCATCCCCCCCCAAGAAAGGGTGACATTTTTTCTGCTGGCTTAAACTTTTTATTAACTTCCAGCTGAGAGTTGTGAATAACTACTTCCGTAGAACCAACGGGCCCTTCTAACAAATGTCCATAGTCCCAACTGCCTTTAAACTCAGGCGTGAAGAACGGTTTCACCAACAAGGGTTCACCCCAAATCACTCTCGATTGGTTGGTTTCCAGAGGGGTTTGGCTCAAACTGGGGCAGATGGTACCACAGCACGGATGCCAAGCGCATTCCCCTTCAGGAGGAGTCACTGGTGGGGGTTTTGTCCCATCTTCCAGCGACCTCCCTCCTTCAGGTAGACATCAATGGTCCATTCTGCGAGTTCAGCCTCCTCTCATTGGACTGAGATTCCTTTCTATTCTCTCTTGTAAATATCTGCACCTTTCCACTATCAAGTAGATGTGCTTTCTTGCATGGTCTTCTTCTTCTCCTCTGCCTCCTCTAAAGGTAATTTCATCTTCACTTTCTCTTTCATCAAGGGATCCTCCGTTTCTGTCCATCCCTCTCCTACCTTGTCCTCATTCCGTTTTCTTTCGTCCTCTTGCTCTACCTCCTCCCTCCGCCTCAGTCACTAGAAATGCCTCCTCTGTTGGTGCCTCTGCCTCACCCGTTATTTTCCCGCTCTTTTTCTCCTGTATCTCTAACTGCTCAGCTATCGGCAATAGTGTGCAGACTGTTTCAAAACCCTCCGCGGTGGGTGTCTGAGGAGACGGCTCACTCTCTTTTCGGCGCTTTTTTTGTTTCACTGCTTCTGGGGAACCACTCGCCGTGGGCCATCTGGGCTTTTTAGGCTTTCCGTTCTGTGAATTTGTCTGGAATGTCCCAGGCAGAAGCCACAAAGGTGGGTGAAGGCACCCCTCACGTAGCCTATTGGGGTTTGCCCTCCTACAAATCTTTGTAAGCTTTGGATTGCCTTGGGACTCCCACAGTCCCATAGGATGGTTGTCTTTCAGTGGCCTTGGAAGAGAGAGAGAGAGAGAGAGAGAGAGAGAGAGAGAGAGAGAATTTTGGGCTCTGGGCAGATTTGAGCTCACGCTACGTGTCTTTCAGCTGCCACCAGTTGATTACATCAATGTTGTTTAATATTAATCATAGAGGTCCAGGCAAAGTGTCATTTTAAAAGAACCCAACAGAAATTGTTTATTGTTATAGATGATGATAGTTCAAGCAATGTTGTTAATTCTTTAACAAACATCCTCCTTCATCCGTTCTCAGCCACCGCCCTCTTCAACTCTCAGTCTCCCTGACTCTCTGACTAAAACTCCCCCTCCTCCCGCTGAGCCTCTTATACCTCGTGACTCCAACCCTCCAGCATAGATATCATTAATGTGATATTTATGCAGATATTACATTAATATTCATGACCTGGGTGGACTCCATACCCATCCTTTGGGACCCCCAGTTGAGAACTTCTGCTCTAAGGCAAGTGTTCCCTGCTTTCAGGACCTGCAAAAAGAGGGGTTTGTCCTGATTCCTGCTACTGACTCCTTTCTTCTCCTTTTCCCAGGGAATGGAGGAATTGCTCCGGCTCTTGTCGTGTGAAAAATGCCAGCAGGCAGCCAGAAACCCCAAGCTCCTGCCTTGCCTCCACACCCTTTGCACCGAATGCTTGGAAGAGAACAAGCCCATCGGCCAGTGTCCCACCTGCATGACTCCCTTCCTGCGTGCCGGGGAGGATCCCGTCCTGGACAACCTGTTCTTTGTGACTCTGCAGGCCAAGCTGAATACGTACAAGAAGATCGCCGGCAACCAAGAGCTGATGTGCAGTCGCTGCCAAGTCGGGGCAGAGTTTTGGTGCTCTGAGTGCGAGGAGTTCCTTTGTATGCAATGTTACAATGCCCACCAGTGGTATTTGAAGCAGAAGAGCCATGAGGTCCAGAAACTCTGTGATCTAAAGAATGCTACCGCACCGCATTTCCTGGAGGGAGCAAAGAAGTCCAGCACCCTGTTCTGTTCCGAGCCCACCCACAACAACCAGCTTGTAAGGTGAGGGCCTGCAATCAAAGGGGGGGGGGCTGGCGGAATTGGCATCCAGCGCCTAGACTCTGATGTCCTTCTGTGTTAGAGCTTGAGACCCAGATATTCTGCAGAGGGTTGTGTTTTTTGTTGTTGCAAGAACAGCACTATTGTTGTTCTTCCAAATTTTTAAGCTGAGGGCAAGCAGTGTCTGGCTGTCCAGATGTGTTGGACTGCAACTCCCAGCATGCCTCACCGTCACTGATGCTGGTTATTTTGCAGCCTACCACTGCCCAGGTAGGCGTATGGCCCGTCCCAGTTATATCCGGAGGGTTGGCCCATTCTTTTCACAGCCTCTGGTTAGGGCTTCACGTGTTGGACTTCCTACTGGAAGGTTTAGAACAACAGTTTTTAGCCACTTCTATACCCCTTTAAATATCTTTTGTTGCTGCGGACCACCAAGACTTCACTCAATATTTAAAACCCTAAAGGGCATCAAATATTTATTAAAGTTTCTCAAACAGTTATTTGCTATCTAGCAGTTATTTTCATAACCAATTTTTATTTTTATTTTTTTTAATGAAGGCAGTCGGTTTGAAAAGCCATGTTTTACACCACTGGTTCTTAACCTTGGGTTACTCGGGAGTTTTGGACTGCAACTCCCAGAAGCCTTCACCACCAGCTGTCCTGACTGGGTTTTCTGGGAGTTGCAGTTCAAAAGCATCCAAGTAACAAAGGTTAAGAACCACTGTTTTACACAAATAACCAAGGGAAATTAAGATTTTGTTCTTCCTTCCTTCCTTCCTTCCTTCCTTCCTTCCTTCCTTCCTTCCCTCCTTCCCCCCCCCCATTTCTTTCTTTCTTTCTTTCTTTCTTTCTTTCTTTCTTTCTTTCTTTCTTTCTTTCTTTCTTTCTTTCTTTTCCTTCCTTCCTTCCTTCCTTCCTTCCTTCCTTCCTTCCTCACTCCCCCCCCCACCAGGGGTCTGCTGACGACAGTTGAAGAACTTATGGTTTAGAGCCTTCAAGCAAGGAAACGGGGTGGGGTGGGGAATCTGGTTGTTATGGTGCACATTTTTGTGGATAGTTTTGCGGGCCATGGGTTGGATAGATGGTTAGGACCTTTCCCCCACCTCAGCTAATTCAGATTTCTGCTCTGATGCTTTCCCTCTGGATACCCTGAGGTCACTGTATCTCTTCTACATCTCTCTCTTCCTGTCTTCCCTTCTTCCCATCCCCTTCCAGGGAGCTCTTCATATTCAGATCAGGGGACAGGCCAAATAAAGCAGTGACATCCTTCACTTTCTAAAATGCTGTGCTTGTGTTGACAGTATCTATTGTCGTGGTTGCTGCAAGCCTCTGTGTTGCTCCTGCGCTCTGCTGGACGGTGAGCATTACAAAGACAAGCTCTACTGTGACATCCATGTGGAAATCAAAGAGCGTAAAGACGAGCTGAGCAGGATCAAGGAGGAGTTGGCAGAGAAGAAGAGAAATTGCAGGAGGATCCAGACTGTTGCCTATGAAAGACTGCAGCAGCTGGAGAGGGTATGCACGCAAACCCAGGATGAGATCCGGGAGAAAGTAGAAGAGATGGTCCGGTGGATCCGACAAAAGGGGGAGGAGCTCTTGTTGGAAGTGGACGGGCAGCGGCGCCAAGAAGGTGAGGAAGTTGAGCGGAAGCTGCAGTGCACGGACCGCATCGTCAAGAGGATGGAGTCCAGTGAGCAGTTGGTGGAGAAGATGAACCTCTTTGCTTCTGACCAAGAAGTGATGGAGATGCACCCTTTCATCCAGCAGTCCCTGGAGGAGCTTAGGAATGAGCGGTTGCCAACGATACAGTTCCAGGGGCAGGTGGAGAACTTTGCAGAGGTCTTAGGCAAGATGAACAAACTGCTTCAGAGAGTTAAAGGAGGGAACGGTAAGAAGTTTTCAAAAATCAAGTTCTCTTGGCTGTTTCTTTTCTATATGGGGCCCCCGAAGCCCCTGGTCAGGTATTAAACAGTACGTCTACCTGTATCTCTCCATATCTTCATCACCTCTTCTTTTACTGGGGGAACATTTGAATAATAGGGTGGATGTGGACTGATCTAGTATAGGAGGACAATTATAGAGTGGCATCTGTGGCTTGACCCCTCCTTCATCTGACGAACTGGGGCAGTGAGGTTCCATAAATCTTTGGGGCATTTAAATCTTTTGAACTTAAAAGTTTTCTTCTTTTTCTTCTTGCAGATGCTGTTTGTCCAGGGACTGCTCCAGCTGGCAACTGTGTGAGTTTGGGGATGGGCGTGTGTGCACAGCATTCACTTGGACATCTAGTCAATGCTAAGGCTCACTGTTTGCAGAGTAAAGACTGCACACAGGTTGGAGTTATTTTGCAGACTACAATTTCCAGAATGCCTTGAGCCAGAATGGAGATTGTTGTTGTTTGTTGTCTCGACTTGTACACTGCCCCATAGTGCTTAGAAGCACTCTCTGGGTGGTATACAACATAATTACGCAAACAACAACTTGCCCTCCAGCAAGTTATTCATTTTACTGACCTCAGAAGGATGGACAGCAGAGTCAGCCTTGAGCCGGCTACCTAAATCCATCTGGACTGAACACAGGTTGTGAGCACAGGCTTAACGGCAGTACTGGAGTTTAACCGCTGTGCCACGGGGCTCCTTACTTGCAGAAATAAACTTTTCTAAACCACCCAGTGTATTGTTGTTGACTCCATATGGTCCTGTCCATCCCGGGCTTAAGACAAAAGGTTTTCCTATTACTCCTGTCTTCTGGAGATGCTAAAGTTTTGATCTCGGACCGTCTCCGTGCAAAATGCATGCTCTGTCCCACACTGAACTTGACAATGTTGCTCTTTGAAAAAGACTGCAACTGCTAAATTGCTCTTGTCTCGTGGCCATGTGGACTGGGGAATTCCTGCCCAGGACCTTCCTCAACAGTTTGGCTTCAGTTCGTCTCTCCTGGTATCATACCTATAAACCTTATTGCTTCTGGCCATAGACCTTTACAATGGTGTCCTGGTATCAGTGCTTCTCTGATTTCCGCTTCTGTGACTTTTCCCTGCAGGAGGTTCCTCACGAGGATGGAAGACAGCCCAGACTCCAAGGGGGAATGTCACTGCCGACACCAACGTACACCATCACCCTTCCAAAGACATCACAGGGATTTGTAAGTTCTCTTGGATTTTGAATAGGTCTCCTTTCTTCTCTTCTCCACGTTGACAACTTATCCCAGCCTTTTCTGTACTCTCACTTAATTTTTTTTTTAAAAAATGGGGAGTGAAAGTTCACCTCAGATTGGGAACTGAACTCACACAAAAGGCCAGACCTCCAGTTCCTCCAGGTGATTGGATGCCATTGCTGTTAATCTAACATAACCCAGTACTGTGTCTTAAAACAATACTGACAAACTAGTCAGAGCCAAACCAGTGAATGATAGATAGGTAAGGTCAGAACCAAAGCAAATGATCTCATTCTCAGGCTATGCCGATTACAGGTGTCAAACATGTCATCGGCACTAGACCAAGAAGACATTAAGCCTTTGTAGATCAGGTAATTTTTGTGTGGACTGCCTTTAGAAATGCAAGCCAGAAAAAATATGCCCATTGTACAGATGAAATACACTAGGTATAGTTTCAAAATTAATATTCTTCTTCCTGGTCTCTGTGAAGGCACACAAATGGTTTAATTCTGTCCCTGCGCAGGACTCCTTGGAACTTTCTAGAGCTTACAAACGTGATTTAGTAGGACGTTTCCTGTGGAGCGCATGCTCCGGCCTTCGAAAATCCCTCAGTTCCTTTTAGCTGCCGCTGAGGTCAGACTCCTTCACGTTGACTAGAGTAACTTTTTCAGTCATGATCTTTGGATCTTCTCCTTGCCTTTCTGGCATATTTAATACTTATTTTCTTCACTGGACATTTCCCTGTGAGGTTTTTTTTGTCTCCCTTTTCTCCATTTTTTCTCTTACTTCCATTCCCCCCCCCTTTTTTATGGCCCCTCAGGGCCCGTTTAAGCGGTGCGTTTCATGTGCCAACGAGATCCCTCTCTGCAATGGCCACGATTGCTGCCTCTTCTGTCTGGGGGAACAACATCAAGCTCGCTCCTCTCCAGAGGGTAAGAGACGGATGAAGCAGGCACTCAAACTTCGCTTCCAGCCCCTTCATTCTTTCCTTTGGAAGAAATTACTCAAACCTTTCGATCCTATAGTCACAGAGCCTACCTTGACTCCAGTTCCGAGATCTGAATCAGTGGACCCGGTCTTGGCCCCAACCACGCCATCGCCGAAGAAAAAATCAAACTCCAAGGTAAATATCGGGATGGAGATGGCTGTAAGCTCACTAGGTGTGCCGTCTTGAAGAGAGAAGGTATGTTGTTGGTCTATAGCAGTGGTTCTTAACCTTTTTGAAAGAAAGGCCCCCTTGAGCCATTGAGGAAGTTATCATCGCCCCCCTCCCTGAGGTGCTGATATCTTACCTACCTACCTACCTACCTAGTCTCCCTCCCCACCCGGGCGTGAGGCAGCACTTCACGGGGCGAGGATAAGGACCCAAGAGACCCTTTCCTTCCACCCGATCCACACTCAGTGCTCCCCTAAAGGAGAAAGGTGAGACGTGGCAGGTAGAAAGAGCTGGATCATCTGGTGGCAGCAGCAGCACCGGATCTACTGCCAGCACTGCGGCTGCAGTCACCTTCACAGGTTTGGCTCGCTCCAGCGCCCCCCTACCACCCCCCTTCTGTTCTTTCACCCCCACACTGCCCCTTTTCGTTCTACCGGCCCCCTGAAAAAATGAAATCGCCCCCTGGGGGGCATTATTGCCCACGTTAAGAACCACTGGTCTATAGCTTCTAGAATGTCCAAGCTAGAAGGGCCAGCAGTAATGAGATCAAGACATGGGAAACAGAGTGTCAATGTAGTCATTCATGGGGATCTGGGGGCTTGCAGTGCAAAAAGCTGTACTGATTCCCATTATGGTGTAGTGGACAAAGTGACGGATTCGGACTCCAGAGAACAGGGTTCAAATCCCCACTCGGCCATTGAAGCTCACTGGGTTGGTTCTGACTTGATGTTACAGAACACACAGTGCAAAGAAAGTTACATTTGTATGTTTTGGCCCATGCCACTACAGAGTACTTGACTTTCCACGTCTGGCAGTAATAACTGGGTGGGGGACTCCCATGATGATACTGATGATCATGTTTTGCTTTTTATTTTGAGGCCGTATCAATGACCTCCCCGCAGAAGCGAGCAATCCGCCAGAGAGAAAAAGGTATCCAGGCTTCCCCCAAAAGGATGAAGCTTGAAGACCATGAACAGGATGCAGGGGAAACCTCCAGTTGGCATGTCCAAAAGATTACAGCAAGCTCTCCGTCTCTTCTCCCCGATGCTTCGGCCCCAGAGAGAGAGCAGAGAGGGGCTGGCAATCCGGCTGAGGTCCTGCAGAACGCCCCCCTTGAAGTCTCTGAGTCAGGTAGGAAGAGAAGAACTTGGAAAAGCCACCAGAGGTTACACCCGAGGAGGTCCTGAGTGCACTTCATGGAGCAAATGCTTTTGTCTTGGCTGTTGCGCTCCTGACTGTGCTGTAATGGTAACCTGTAGGAATGTAGGAAATTGTCCTCTCTGGAATCAGACCATTGGTTGATCTCATCCAGAACTATCAAATCGGACTGCCAGCAATTCCCCAGAATTTCTGGCAGGATTTTTCCCTAGCCATACTGGGATTCCTGTGGTATTCCCTGGTGCTGTTTTGTCTAAGTACCAGCAAGGATCAGTTCTGCTCGACTTGCAAAACTAGATGATGATGTCTGCTGTGTTTAGAGGGGCACTTCTTGGTGGAGGGATATACCTTGTTAGCTCTGAAGTCAGAGTCTCATCTCTGCTTGGAAGGCAAAATGCTCTAATGATATTTTGACAAATTCCCAATTTTTTTCTCCGTTCCAAAACCCTTGGTCTGTTTTCTTGTGCAGCTTTGTACTGGGTGACTTGAGCACTATAGCACTTCCCAACTCTTGCAGCAGGCCAAGTTTGTTTCTCTGCTGAAGTAGTGTCTGTTTCCAACTGTAGGTTGCTGCCTCTCTGAGAAGGAAGAGGAAACACATCCTCCTTTGGGATAATGTTCTCCACAGGCACAGGTTCTCTGGAACTTCAGATTTGGCATTGTATGCCTTCTTGAAACATGCTTCTTTCTCACAGTGGCTTTCTGACTGGTGCTTCCTTTGTTCCAGCTTGCCAGCTGATTCCCTCAGACGTTTCTCTAGTTGTAATGAAATCGTATCCCCTTATTACCACCCCAGTAAGGCAAAGCCCTACTTTGTAATCTTCAGCAGAGAGGATAGGATGAGCTGTTAGTCATGTGCCCATAGGTGCAGTACTACTTTGGCGCCATGCGAGTAAACAGTAACTATGCCATAATTTCTTGATGCCAATCATGGGAAAGAAACAAGAGAGGGGGAAAGGCTACACCTTAAAAAGCTGACAGTGTGTGGTCTTGACAATCCTCTGCCTTGGGGAGAGAATGAACGGGCATCTCCCAAAATTGATACAGAGCGCAGAGAGGCTCAAAAATTGTGAGATGATGTGCTGTCTCCCAAGGCTCAGTGTGAGTGGAGGAGACGAATATGAGCCCCCCCCCTGCTCCCCCCAATGCATGCTGAGTCGCAGAGTGGTTTTGAAAACTTCAGGGAATGCAATTTCCGGGTCTGAGCACCGAAATGCTTTTCTGAGGCTTGGGAGTGGAGAGATTTAGGATGAACTGAAGGGGGATCAGGAAGCCCCCCAAGTCAGCACAAGATCTGGGCAAGAGATTAGGCAGGGGCAGGGAGGGCAGGATTCCCCCAAAAGAGAGGAATCTGCTTGCCAGCGATGAGACATACCCAGGGAGCCATTTTCATTCATCTAAGTTACGATGAACACCAGGCGTTCAAAAGTTCCATTTTGAAATTCAGCTTCTAAAGAAAAAGTTGCTTTGAACGGCAGGTTTGTGGGCTGTGGATTTAAAACATGGGTTTCCAGTTTCTTTACAATGCCAGAGAACATATGATTCAAGTAGCCACCTTGTGGAGGCCGCTTGCAGCAACCAGAGCCTAAAAGGGAGGTTTTGTGTTGCGTAGAGATTCGGTAATAACAGGAACTCTGCTTTGCATATTCTTTTGCACATAAATAAAGTTGCAGCATTAAGAACCTGGTTTTCTGTACTAAAATGTTATAAAGAGGCGATCCACTTTGGATATTCTGTGAATTTGCTCTATACGATTGCAATTAGATTAGCACTTTTTGGAGTGTAGGTCTCAGAAGCTACCAGCAGGAGTGGGAATTGTAATTGAAAAAGTAACTTTGTCAAGGTCTGAATTAGATATACAGTGGTACCTCACATAACGGGCGCCCTGTTTAACGACAAATCCGCATAGCGATGAAGAATTTGCGATTCCTTTTGCGATCGCATAACAATGTTTTCTATGGGGGAAATTGCTTTGTGATGATCGGTAAGCTGTTCCGCTTACCGATTTTCGCATAGCGATTTTCCCCAGCTGATCGGCGGTTCCAAAATGGCCGCCGGGTAAAACAGGGACGGATTCCTCGTTTACCGGGCAGCTAAAATGGAGGATTTTCACTTAAAAGATAAGTTTTAAGCCCATAGGAACACATCGAAGGGGTTTCAATGCATTCCTATGGGCGTTTTAATTTCGTATAGTGACGAATCCGTATAGTGACAATTTTTGCTGCAGAGATTATCGTCACTATGCGGGGCACCACTGTATTTGCATTAGGCTTGTGAACCAGTTCAGTATTCTTTTTGAGAATGAGTGCCTTAAAAATGTATTTTAATGTTTTGTTTTTCTACATGATAGCTAAGAGATTCTGTACTTTGCAAAAGTAAATTACGGATTCCACGTTACAAGCCATTTTTTTTGGTCTGTTTCATAATCCTCTTCTGAGTGTTCTCAGGGTCTTGATATCAGAAATACAGTGGGGTCTCTACTTAAGAACTTAATCCGTATTGGAAGGTGGTTCTCAAGTTGAAAAGTTCTTAAGTTGAATCTGCATTTCCCATAGGAATGCATTGAAAACCATTTAATCCGTATCTGCTCTTTTCCGTCCATAGAAACTACAGTGGAACCTCTACTTAAGAACTTAATCCGTTTTGGAATGATGTTTTGTTTTTCTACATGATAGCTAAGAGATTCTGTACTTTGCAAAAGTAAATTACGGATTCCACGTTACAAGCCATTTTTTTTGTCTGTTTCATAATCCTCTTCTGAGTGTTCTCAGGGTCTTGATATCAGAAATAGAAACTTATAATCAGTTGTGAGCCACATGCCGGTGTGCAGAAATTAAATATACTAACGGCTAAAACAATTAGTTTCTGTTTTAAGTTGATCACTCACCCATCTTTGAATCCTTTCAGTTTAAATATGTGAAATATGGCTCTGTTAGGCAGACTAACTGCAGTTCGTCAATTCTCTTAAGGCACACAACAGCTGTTGCGTGCCTTAAAAGCAAGTCCACAGAGTGTGGGGCTTGTTGGGTTTGAACACGACTTTCATGAACTCTGCCCACTTTCAGCACCCCACCCTTACTGAACATCTTCTCAACACCCCTAAACATCTCCATACAACCAGCTGACATTAGTGCCTCCGTGACACTGACTGTTGTCCATTCTGCTTGCAGAGGCCGCCAGTATTGTGATCAGCAGCTCTGAGGAAAATGAAGACGACTGCATGGTGAGCGAGAGAAAGAGATTCCTGATCACCAGTGCCCTGATGATACTTGCTGGAGAGAACTGAGATAATGTGGCTCGTTCCACAGCAACCTGGGGGGCTGGCTGAAATCTTCTAAGACCCCTGGGATGACAGAACGGGTCCTAGAATTTGGGGGAGACAAGAGGCATTTGCAACAAAATAAAAACCCCTCCCATGCGGTGTGCTCCTGTCTGCCAACCATGCCCTTCGATCAGAATACTCCATTCCACACCACCCCTTTTTCCATTCTTCCTTCCCAGCCTACATTCAACATCCGGTGGCTTTCAAACACCGTGAGCCCTCAATGGGTTATTTTGGTTTTCTCCCCCACTTCTCTTTTTATGCTGTTTTCCTGAATTTATGGTTGCAACATGGGGAACTGCCTTATGATTATTCCATAGATCGTTTCCCCCCAAACCTACCCATACCTCCCTCTCATAAAGGGATGGTGCTGGTTTAACTGTCTAAAGACCAGCACTCCTTGAAGAGCATTCACGCTGACTTTTTAGATAGTTGACACTGTTCTACATAGATGCCAAGTGGTTGCTGACTGAACCGGTAGTTCAGTGGTGGAACACATGATTTGCACGCAGAAGGTCCCATGTCAAGTTCGTTGCAAATTTGTTTATGGCTGCTGCCTGAATCCTTGGAGAGATGTTGCTCCTCAGAGCCAACAGCATTGACCGTCCTAGATGGAAGGATGGTGCATTTCAGAGGCCCGGTTACATTACTGATATGCCTTGCAATATGCATCAGTGTTACTGAATCTGATTTATTATCACGTAACAGTCACACGCTATTTGAACTTCTGTTTGCATTTCCTTGTGTTACCAGCTGATGGACAGTGAAGCTGGGCTGCTGCAGCAACCTGGCTTTGCTGTGATCTACCACACAAAGCAGCTGGCTTTGCTGCCCAGAAGCTGTGGTGCAGCCCCACGAGACAGCTGGGAGGAGCAGCACCTCATTTGTTGGGCTGCTTTGTCTTAGGTCGCAGCAAAGCTGTGTCGCTGCAGCCGAGCAGGTCCCATGCCACCCAGCTGTTGGGGAGGGAAGCCAGACGCCTGCGTCCTGGAGCACGGTGCTGCTCATCTTGGCTGCCTCCTGGTGCCACAAGCACAGCCGCGGGGAGTTCAACGGGATCCCTTTCCCCCTTCCAGTTCAGAGCTCTGTTGTGTGAGCAGTGAAACATTTTACCAATTCTCCCTTTTGAAAATGCTTCATGTCTTTTTTTTCCTATAAAAATTGATTAGAAATTATGACAATGATGATGATAATGATGGCGACAACAATGGACAGCTCAGTGTATCTGGCTGCAGAGCCAGAGGTTGGGAGTTCAATTCCCCACTGTGTCCTGGACTTGATGGTCCATAGGGTCCCTTTCATCTCTGCAGTTTGGAGATGATTATGAGTAACACGGGACAAGGGAGGCCCATGTATTCAAGCCTACAGTATCTGCCTGCCCACATTCCTCATGCTGAGCTACTGGAGTTGCTTGGACCCCCAGGGTTATTGGAAGAGGTTTATGGTAAAAGAAGTGAATTACAGTGGTGCCTTGCTTGATGACATTAATTCGTTCCAGCGAAATCGCTGTAGAGCGAAAACATCGTCAAACGAAATGAAAAAAACCACTGAAATGCATTGAAAACCCCTCAATGTGTTCCAATGGGCTGAAAACTCACCGTTCAGTGAAGATCCTCCATAGGAGAGGCCATTTTCTGGTGCCTGTATAGCGAAAAATTGCTCCTAAAAACAGTGGGGAGCCATTTTGAGCAGCCGGCGGCCATTCTGAAAACCCGACGATCAGCTGTTTTGATTTTCGTAAAGCGAAAAATCAGTTCCCAAAGCAGGGAACCGATCATTGCTAAGGGAAAAACCCCATTAAAACATCGTTTTGCGATCGCAATTGCGATCGCAAAACGATGTTTTAATGGGGTTTTTCCCTTAGCAATGATCGGTTCCCTGCTTTGGGAACTGATTTTTCGCTTTACGAAAATCAAAACAGCTGATCGTCGGGTTTTCAGAATGGCCGCCGGCTGCTCAAAATGGCTCCCCACTGGTTTTTGGAGTAATTTTTCGCTGCACAGGCACCCAAAAATGGCCGCCCTATGGAGGATCTTAGCTGGACGAGCAGGTATTTTGCCCATTGGAACGCATTGAAAGGTTTTCAATGCATTTCAATTGGCTTTTTTATTTCGCTTGACGGAGATTTCGCTCTACAGCGATTTCGCTGGAACGGATTATCCTCGTCAAGCGAGGCACCACTGTATTAATAATAGTGTTAGAACTGTGGAGCTGGAAGGAATCGAACCCCCAACTCCGCAGGCAGAGACTTGAACCTCCGAGCGGCCCAGCAGCTCATCCGCCCGGCCTCTTCCTTCCCTGGCAGGTGAGGCTGCTGGACGGGACGTCGCTCACCCAGACCTTCAGAGCCAAAGAGCAAACTGCAGAGATGAAAGGGACCCTATGGACCATCAAGTCCAGGACACAGTGGGGAATTGAACTCCCAACCTCTGGCTCTGCAGCCAGATACACTGAGCTGTCCATTGTTGTCGCCATCATTATCATCATCATTGTCATAATTTCTAATCAATTTTTATAGGAAAAAAAAGACATGAAGCATTTTCAAAAGGGAGAATTGGTCACCTGGTTTTCATTCTCCCCATGAGCTTTGCTCTCCTTCCATCATGTAGACCAGTGGTTCTTAACCTTTTTGAAAGAAACGCCCCCTTGAGCTGTTGAGGAAGTGATCATTGCCGTCCTCCCCGTGGCAGGAGCAGCATGGCGGCGGTGTGGTGCCACCGCGGGGAGGGGGGGCAATGATAACTTCCTCAATGGTGGTGGCAGCGCGACGGCTCCATCGCTCCCTATCACCCCCTTCTGTTCCTTCGCCCCCACATCACCCCTTTTCGTTCCATTGCCTCCCTGAAAAATGAGACTGCCAAGCTGCCGCCACCATTGCGGAAGTTATCATCACCCCCTCCCCACGGCGGTGCCCTGCTGCCGCACCACCACCAGATCCAGAGCAGCTGTGCTGGCAGCAGATGTGGTGCTACCGGTGCCACCACCTTTGAGGAAGGGGGGGGCGATATCGCCCAGGTTAAGAACCACTGATGTAGACCAAGGGTGAGGAATGGATGGTCCTCCAGATGTTGGACTGCAGATGCTACCAGTTCTCACTATCTTGGCCAGTGGGGAAGGACCATGGGAGTTGCAGTGCAATAACACTTAGAGGACCCCACCCACCTGCCCTGATATAGATGGGTGTATCTGGAACACAGGCAGCAACGGCTGATGGGGCTGAACTTTAGTCTGAACTTGCTTTGCAATATTGAGAATGAAGAAAGATCATTGGTTGGAAAAAGGAGGGACGGATCCTTCTGTTTTGAACCTATGTGAGTTTTACTTACTCTTATCAATAAAACTACACCAGCCCATTTCTGCACCAGTCTGTGAATTTAAAACAACACGTGAAAATTTTACATTTTTAAAAAAACTTTATTTTCCCTTAACATCAGTAAAACAACCAATAGATTCACAGAAACATCATACAGGAGGAAGCTATGGACTTCATACTATCTTTCTGAGCTTCCCAAATGCATCTTAGTTGACTTGCTGCAGGATGGGTTTTGTAATGATACAAGAAAACTCCCTCTCCCCCCCCCCCCCNNCTCTTCTGAGTTTGGGTTCACTCAAAATATTTTTCCTAGGTTCTGTCCCAGCAATCACTGTCAAGGAACCTGAGTCTCACCATGACAGAAACCAAAATCCACCTTCTGTTATGAAAACCCTGTATCACACCTGAACAACTTTTGGTATGTGTTGAGGATCCTTGGTTTGAAATGTGTCCTATCTTCCTTGTTGTTTTCCCCCAGCCATATATGAGTCTAGGACTTATTGGTTATTGACCACAAATTCTACATTCCCGTGCAGAACAGGAATGATCAGATTGACCTCAGGCTGAAAGGCAAAATTAATAGCAAAAAGAAAAATAAACTCTGTGGTCCTTGCACACAATCCAAAGGTGACGGTGGAGGATACCTTTATTAGACTTCTGAAAATGACCAAACAGAAGCTAGGTCTTGACCCATACAGGTCTTTGTCAGACTGGGCACCCCTTAGCTGTGGATGGTGCAGGAAAAAACACGGAAGTTTCAAAAATCATGGCCAGTTCCCTTTGTTGAAATCTCGTGACTCCGCCCCTCCAGCACTCTCATTGGTCTATGCAGATATCACATTAATATTCATGACCTGGCCAGATGCCACAGGTTTCAAAATATCACCTCTGGGGCATCATACTGCCATGCTCCATGTTTTTATTTTTTCTATGCTTTTAATTGTACTTATTGAATTATAATTTGATTTTTGATTTTCACCCCTATGTATTAATGTTGCTATTTGCTATTTTGTTACTCTGTTGTTTTTTGTTATTTGTTGTAACCCGCCCAGAGTGGCCTTGGTTGCCAGATGGCTGGTATATAAATCAAATAAAAATAAATAAAGTCATTTACCTTTCCCCATCTAGCCGTTTATTGAAACACAAGGTTCCCTTAGGCCTGGGAATGGAGGAACAGAGAAGTGTGGCAAACTCTATAGCAGAGAAGCTGAAGTAAAATTTATTCAGCCAAATGAACAGTACGCCAGGAATGGGCCACTATCTAGTGACCCACAGGCTTGAAGTACAGTCATGCCCCGCTTTATGATTACCTCGTTTAATGATGAATCCGCTTGACGGTGAGGTTTTTGCGATCGCTTTTGCGATTGCAAAATAATGGTTTGGATGGGGTTTTTCCGCTTTGCGATGATCGGAACAGTACGCCAGGAATGGGCCACTATCTAGTGACCCACAGGCTTGAAGTACAGTCATGCCCCGCTTTATGATTACCTCGTTTAATGATGAATCCGCTTGACGGTGAGGTTTTTGCGATCGCTTTTGCGATTGCAAAATAATGGTTTGGATGGGGTTTTTCCGCTTTGCGATGATCGGAACAGTACGCCAGGAATGGGCCACTATCTAGTGACCCACAGGCTTGAAGTACAGTCATGCCCCGCTTTATGATTAC